GGTCAGCCGCGCTGTCGCCAGTTTAGGGTTGAGGGTTTAGGGGTTGAGGGTTGGGGGTTTCGAGTTTAGGGTTTAAGGGTTTAGGGCTGGGGGTTGAGGAATGAGGGTTCAAGGTTTAGGGTTAAGGGTTTAGGGTTGAGGGTTGAGGAATGAGGGTTCAGGGTTTAGGGCTGAGGGTTTAAGGGTTGAGGGTTTAGGGGTTTTGGGTTTAGGGTTGAGGGGTTTAGGGTTTAGGGTTTAGGGGTTTTGGGTTTAGGGTTGAGGGGCTTAGGGGTTAAGGGGTTAAGGGTTTAGGGGTTCAGGGTTAAGGGGTTGGGGGTTTAGGGGTTCAGGGGTTAAGGGGTTCTGGGTTTAGGGGTTTAGGGTATTATTAACCGCTATGTAGGGTTTAGGGTTTAGGGTTGGTATATAAGGATGATGGAAAAGAAAATGGAAGTTACTATACTATTATTGGGTATGTATTGGGTTATATAGGGATAATGGAAACGAACATGGAAGAAACTTTATTATAAAGTTGGGCAACTCCTCACCATGGACTTTAGGGAATTAGGGTTTTGGGACTTAAGGTTCAGATTTAGGAGCCCAAGGCTTGTGGTAGCTTCCATTTTATTTTCCATTATCCTTGTACCTTATAATATGACACCCATATATCCCCCATGATAATATGGTAGTTTCCATGTTTGCTTCCATTATCCTTATATAACCCCAACCTATAACAATATAATCTTAAGAGCTTCACCAACCTGCATGTTAAGACGAAGGGGAGGGAAAGCAGGAATTGTAGGAACAACGAGGGCAAATGGCGCACATATCCAATTATGCAATTGTCTACCGTCTACTTCATGTAGGCATATTCACATCAGGATCCCCCAATTGCCAAACAAGTTTCTGCAGAACCCCCCAGATGTTTGGCGTTCTACACCTTAGTTCGGATCCTCTCGATTATGTGCCCTTGGAGGCGCCATGAGTTGCCTCTGGTGAAAATCAAGCAATGAATGCCAAAAAGCATTCCTTGTTGTTCCCAGGTTCGTCCCTATCGTAATTACAATACACGATTGATGCAGTAACTCAACCAGTGATAACTGCGGTGATAATATAGTATAGTCCCCTTTAAGTAGATAGAATATGGCTTTGGGTATATTATAATAAGATCTCCATATGCCCCATATTCTATCTACTTCAGGGAGACTATAGATTCAACTTGCTTTACAAGACCCAACTCCGGAATCTGTAAACACAAAATCCATCAAAATCCCTAAGCCCCAACTCCCTAAGGCTTCAACCCCTAAACCCTAAATCCAGAAACTCTAAAACTCAACACCCTAAATCCTTGAACTGCCATGAAGGCCAGGCAATGGGCCTGCGGAGGACGGCTGGCAGCAAGCTCTGTGGGTGGAAATGGCCGAGGCTCCATGAGGGTTTAAGACTTAACTTTAAGGGTAAAGGGGCTAAGGTTTAAGGTTTATGGTTTAGGGTTGAGGGTTTAAGGTTTAACTTTTAGGGTAACGGGTCTCAGGTTTAAGGTTTAGGGTTTAGGGTCCCTGACAGGGTTACCGGGGTTTGCTTTGGAGTGTCACTCCGTCATACAGGGTTGACTGTCGGGTATATAGTATGTAGGGGGACATAGGATTTAGGGGGACTGTACTACCCCGATAATAGACAATCAAAGGGAAAATCCTCTCTACAACCCCCATAAACCTTATCCCTATCCCTGTCTCCCCCGTATAAACCCAAACACGAAAACCAGAAGACCCCAAACATTTACACCCTAAAGCCCTAAACCCTAACCCCTAAACCCTAAATCCTCTCAGGCCATCCAGTCAGGAGAAGCTCAGGTTGCCCTTGGGCTGCAATATACGGGGGTAATGGAAAATAGAATGGAAACTACTATGTCACTATAGGGTAGATTGAAGTTATATAGAGTTAGTGGAAAAGAAAGTGGAAACTACTGTAGGATTTAGGGCTTAGCAGGGATAATGGAAAAGAAAATGGATACTACAGCGATTATAGGTGCGCGAGCTCGCGAGAAAACATCCTTTCGGGGTGCCATGGCGCAGCTGGTGCGAGGACATATCCTCCAATACTGGTGGTCCATTCATATGGATTTCCTACAGCGACTTTGAGATCAATGCTCATATAGCCCCTAAACTCACAACTCTCCCAAGCATAAAGGGCAGCGGCATGCATTCCATCACTTCCAGAGATGTATGACCAAGTCTTACTTAATCTTCGCACCAAGTACTAGAGTCCTATCATAAGGACTCAATCTACCCTATGATAATATACTAGTTTCCAATGTATTTTCCATTATCCCTGTCTATCCGCAATATACCCTATAGTAATATAGTAGCTTCCATTTTGCTCCTATCCAACTTGCAAACATGTTTAGGATCTCAGCTTTGCCAGGCGATGGCCTTGAAGTCTCTGAGAGCTAGGATTCCCATATCATTTGGGAGATAGGGGTTTAGGGTTTAGGGTTTATCATTTGGGAGATAGGGGTTTAGGGTTTAGGTATATAGGGATAATGCAAAAGAAAATGGAAACCACTACAGTATGATAGGATATATACTGGTATATAATCTATTATAATTCCTTGGACCTCTTCTGTTACAATCCCGTCCTTCTCTCTTGGACTCCTAGAATCCTGGAAGCTTATCTGCGCTAGACAACATGATGCTAATCCAGGCTTGCAACGTAGGTTTCCGCGAAAGTTCCACGTAAGTACCGCGAAAGTGAAGATTGCAATCTATGCTGAGGGGAGAGCTCACAGTAGTTATGTGTGTAGTACCCCTAATTTTTAATTTTGGGAAACCCTAAAGTGTAGAGTTTCAGGGTTGCTCAAGGAGCTAGCCATCAGAATCATGCATGGTCCGCAAAAGTTTCGCGAAAGCTTTTTCCCGTGAAGGCGGTCATGTCGGGATGAAGAAGTTTGGATCAATGCCCATATAGCTACAGAAAGAAGGGTCCCATTCCTTCATAACCCCAGCGGTGAATCTGCCTTGACAATCCGCGCTCGTGCATTCCTGCTTGCAGAGGTCATGGTCTTCTCCCGCACCTCGTCATGGCGATAGGGGTCTCTAGATGACTACATTCTTTTGCACATCATGCAATACTTCCATGAGATTCTCCATGGTGACTGGAGGCCCAGGATGTCCCTGGTGCGAGAAGCTTCATCCAGTTCTGCTTAATGAATCTTGGCATTCCGTTTAGTGTGATGGTCAATGGGTCGACTTAGGTAGAATAATGGAGAATCAAATAGCAAAGAAAATGGACAATGAAATTGAAAC